GCTAACTTGTAACTCTCAAGCGCCCTCACTGAGCCTTCACGCCTCATCTCTACATAAGCCTCCTTCTTCCTCTTGACAAGAGATTCAACTTCTTTAGTAAACCACGGTTTCCTCGCTCGACCACTTCCTCCCTGCCTGACAGGTACATACTTCTCAAGGACACGCAGTAGCTGTTCCTTGAACAAGCTCCACATTTCAATTGTGCCCAGCCCCTGCAGTTTCCTTCTCCATCCTATGCATCCTAAATCTTGCCTCATCGCCTCATAGTTGCCTTTCCCCCAGCTATAACTCTTGCCCTGCTTTATATACCGATCCCTTTCCATCGCTAAAGTAAACGTAACCGAATTGTGGTCACTATCACCAAAGTGCTCTCCTACCTCCAAATCTAACACCTGGCCTGGTTCATTACCCAGTACCAAATCCAATGTGGCCTCGCCTCTTGTTGGCCTATCTACATACTGTGTCAGGAAACCCTCCTGCACACATTGGACAAAAACTGATCCATCTGAAGTACTTGAACTATAGCGTTTCCAGTCAATATTTGGAAAGTTAAAGTCCCCCATAACAACTACCCTGTTACTTTCGCTCCTATCCAGAATCATCTTTGCAATCTTTTCCTCTACATCTCTGGAACTTTTCGGAGGCCTATAGAAAACTCCCAACAGGGTGACCTCTCCTTTCTTGGTTCTAACCTCAGCCCATACTACCTCAGTAGACGAGTTGTCACCAAACGTCCTTTCTGCCACCGTAATACTGTCCTTGACTAACAATGCCACACCTCCCCCTCTTTTACCACCTTCCCTGATCTTACTGAAACATCTAAACCCCGGAACCTGCAACAACCATTTCTGTCCCTGCTCTATCCATGTCTCCGAAATGGCCACAACATCGAAGTCCCAGGTACCAACCCATGCTGCAAGTTCACCCACCTTATTCCGGATGCTCCTGGCATTGAAGTAGACACACTTCAAACCACCTTCCTGCCTGCCGGTACACTCCTGCAACCTTGAAACCTTATTTATGACCTCACTACTCTCAACCTCCTGTACACTGGAGCTACAATTCAGGTTCCCACCCCCCTGTTGAATTAGTTTAAACCCTCCCGAAGAGCATTAGTAAATTTCCCCCCCAGGATATTGGTACCCCTCTGGTTCAGGTGTAGACCATCCCGTTTGTAGAGGTCCCATCTACCCCAGAATGAGCCCCAATTATCCAGGTATCTGAATCCCTCCCTCCTGCACCATCCCTGTAGCCACGTGTTCAACTGCTCTCTCTCCCTATTCCTCGCCTCGCTAGCACGTGGCACGGGTAACAAACCAGAGATAACAACTCTGTTTGTTCTAGCTCTAAGCTTCCACCCTATCTCCTTTAATTTCTGCCTTACATCCCCATCCCTTTTCCTACCTATGTCGTTGGTGCCTATGTGGACCACGACTTGGGGCTGCTCCCCCTCCCCCTTAAGGATCCCGAAAACACGATCCGAGACATCACGGACCCTGGCACCTGGGAGGCAACACACCAACCGCGAGTCTCTCTCGTTCCCACAGAATCTCCTATCTGTCCCCCTAACTATGGAGTCCCCAATGACTAATGCTCTCCTCCTCTCCCCCCTTCCCTTCTGAGCAACAGGGACAGACTCTGTGCCAGAGACCTGTACCCCATGGCTTAATTGTCCACCACCATTCACAACTGGATGTGGCAGGACTGCAGAGCTTAGATCTGATCCATTGGTTGTAGGATCACTGAGCTTTGTCTATCACTTGCTGTTATCATGAAATGAATTTATATCTGATCAGTGAACCAGTTGTTAAAATTAAGGGTGGAGAAAGACAGCTGCACTGGACAGTTAGAACAGTATGATTGTGAAGATTGGGCTACTTTTTTGATTTTTGAAAATGAAGGAACATCTGTACTGATACAAACACATAATTCTACAGTTGCTGGGAGTATGAAATATAAACAAGATAAGTTAGGCAGCATTTGCAGAGAGAGAAGTGTTTTTGCTCTGATGAAGGGTTATTGACCTAAACTGTTTACTCTGTTGCCAACATTTACCCTGAGCTTTCTCTCAGATTTAATAAGAGGAGTTGATTTTCCCAATGAGGAAGATAAACAGAAACTTTTTGGAGAAACTCAGTGGGTTTTACAGTGCCTGGAGGGAGAAACAGTTATCGATTGGTGTCCAATATGACTTCTCAAGGCTTGTTGTTCATGGTCTTAGAGGAAGGACAGGCAGTGGTCTCTGATTCAGGCCTGTCTTCTGGTTCAGTTATTCACTTCCAGCATCCACACACGTGCAGAGCTGAAACTGACAAAATTACCAACTTAGAGGATCAATGTCTTGCACCATGATAACAGAGACTGACAGGCTGACTTTATCAGACAAACCATTACTGGGTATTTGAAGGGTGAATTTATCTCGCAGTTAGGTTTCTAAATTGCAATTGACATATTCTGCCTCAGTAATAGAAACCAATTGTGTGGGAGGAATGTGACATTCTATTTTAACGGGAAGCTGCTGAAGTTCCCGACGGCGATAGGGTAGGGGTTAGTGCCAGGAATTCACTCTCGGTATCCGGAGCTCACTCTCCTTCTCGCAATCTTTCCGGAACGCACTCTCACTCTCTGCCCAGAGATCACACTCACTTACTCTCCGACCGGAGATCACACTCACTCTCACTCTCTGCGCGGAGATCACTCTCTGTCTCACTCTCACTTTCCGCCCAGGGGTCACTCTCTCACACAGCGCGGAGCTCACTCACACTCTGGGTGTCTCCTCCCAGCCAGAATGCTCTCTCAGGCGTCAGTTTCCAAAGCAACAGGAGGAATGTTATTTGAAGTCACCATGTGACGGGCGATAATTGAGTGTGAAACGTTATTAGCCGGGGTGGAGGAGGGCGGTGGGGGGGTGGAGATAGACATTTGCACCTTTCTGCATTTTCCATTCACGGAGAATGTGTTCACTGGAGGAAGAACGGAACCATTTCTTCATGTCGATTCTCTAAAAAAAAGAATTTCTTTGAGAAACCGCATTTATGTTGTTAAACATTGTGCAAAAAAAATGAGGAGAAACGATTGGCCGGAACTGTTTGGGATGAAATATTTCTTTCACTCTCTCCGGTGACGGTGAGTTTATTGGAATGTTTCAGACCCTTAGCGGAACGAGGCTTGTGCTGAGACAGTGTTTACAATGAGCAGGGATTGACCTGAAACGTTAACTCCCGCCACAGAAACTGCCTCACACACGAAACATTCCGTTTGCTTTTGTTTCAGATTTTCCGGAATCTGCGATTTTGCTTTTCAGTTTAAAATGTGATTCTAGTGGGGAGCTTGTGGGAGAGTGACAGAGGGAGAGAGATTCCGCACTCTAGGCAGATAGAGATCCCAGCAGAAAGCGAGAATCCCAGCAGAAAGATCCCAGCAGAGGCCACAGCAGAAAGCGAGACCTAGCAGAGAGTGACCCCGAGCAGAGGCCGATTCCCAGCAAAGAGAGATTCCCAGCAGAGAGCGATGCCCAGCAGAGAGGGTGGGACAGGATGGATCCTGTGGGAGACAGCCTGAGGCTGAGGCGGGTGAATATTGGCAGCACGGTGCCCCAGCAGGGAGGGGTGGGGTGGGGGGCCTCTCTCTCTCTGTCTGTCTGCCTGCACCGTGCGGCTTCACCACCGCCAGGTACCCCCGGCTGCTCAGTGCCCGGGAAGGAGTTGGTGCTGAGGGCGGGGACAGGTGGAGGGGACAGAGAGTAGAGGGTGAGGAAGGGGGAGGTGGTGCGGGGTGAAGGGGAAGGGAGAGGAGGGGAGGGGCCGAGTTTGGCAGCAGGTTCGCCCTGAGTCGCTCGGAGCTGGCACAGGCGCCTGTTGTGTCGCTGGGTACCAGCTGGTAACCACCACCCTCCCCACCCTCCAACCCACCCTCCCCGTGAGACGGGTAGCGCTCGGTGAAGGAGTTAGCGGGAGCTGAGGGTGGGGGGTGGGGGGGGTGGTGGGGGAGGAGCAGACTGTCCCCTGGGGGGCACGGACCTGGCACACAGGGTCCGTATGATCAGCTCGGTGTGTGTGTCATCTTACCGAGGGCGCAAGTCCGCCAAGAAAGCCCCTCCGAAAGTATGCCCGGAGGAGGAGGAGGAGGAGGAGGAGATGGGCACGGGGGAGGGCAGTGAAAGGATCACCATCAATGTGGGGGGGACACGGCATGAGACCTACAGGAGCACCCTGCAGACCCTGCCCGGGACCCGGCTGGCACGGCTCACCCAGCCCGGAGCCAGCGGTGGCCAGTTCTTCTTTGACCGGCATCCCGGCATCTTCGCGTCGGTGCTGAACTATTACCGGACCGGTAAACTGCACTGCCCGGCCGATGTGTGCGGTCCGCTCTTTGAGGAAGAGTTAGCTTTCTGGGGGCTGGATGAGACCGATGTGGAGCCCTGTTGCTGGATGGCGTACCGCCAGCACCGGGAGGCGGAGGAAGCGCTCGACATCTTCCAGCCGCTTGGAACCGGCCCCGGAGAGGAGGAGCCCGAACCCGGGGGGGAGCCTGAACCGGGACCGAGCCGGGCCCGGGGGCCCGGGGAATCCAGCTGCAGCCGCTCGGCCCCTCTCACCTGCTGGAGGCGGTGGCGACCCCGGCTCTGGGCTTTATTCGAAGACCCCTACTCGTCCCGAGCAGCACGGGTAAGGAACGGGTTACACTACCCCCTCCCCCATCCCGCGGTTTCGGTTAAACGGGATTTTTATCCTAAAAGTACAAAGCTTCATTTTCCCTATTAACAGAACTGAACAAAAGCCGGTCAATCAACCGCTGCCGATTCAAAAACATCGCGACCAGGAAACCTGTTAGAATCAAATCAAAGAACATTTTCAAACATATTGTAGCTTTTTAATAAAATGCTGCAAAGTCGCAGCCGTTAGTTGGGGTCTGGGAGGGGCAATTAGTGACTTCAGTATTCAGCACCAACCCCAAACAAATAATCTCCCAGTCAGCGGCACGCAGTTCTGACCATTAGTTCACAATAAACATTCACTTCTTAAACTACAATCGCACTTTGTGAAGGATCTATCCATCAGTGAGGCATCTACTGCTTCAGGGAGAGATGGAGTAGGATCCTCACACACCCAGACACACACCCAGACAGACACACACTGAGCCAGACACACACCCAGACATATACACACATACACTCAGACACATCCAGACATAAAAAGACATGGACAAGGGCACACACGTAAACACCCCGACATTAACAGGCAAGACAAAGATCAGGCTGTGGATGGTGACAGGGGAATGGCTGGTTTCTGTGCAGATTCTTATAAGGAATAGAGTCGCTGGGTCCTCGAAGCCAGACACAGGCTCTCCCCCTCTCACCTGGTGACCACAGTTGTATATCATTGAATCCGTTAGAGAATAAAATGGCACCGAACTCAGCGAAATGTTAGTAACCTAGGGGAAACAGCAGGTGCAAGAATGGAAATCTGCCCACAATAATTCAGGAACGGAGCACCCAAGTGTCTGCTTCTAGTAAGATTTAATTTGAATCTATTCAGTTCAACATACATCTGAAGGTTTCCGGGAAGAAAACTCCGGGTTGATTTTTGCTATAATCTGGCTCGTATTTCGAATGTGTTTTTGTCGCTTGTGATTAGCAGTAATTGATATCACTGGGACCAGGATGGATGATATCTGAAACAAAAACAAATCAGTTCTGAGGAAGGGTCACTGGACCTGAAACGTTAACTCTGATTTCTCTGCACACATGCTGCCAGACCTGCTGAGCTTTTCCACTAAATTTCTGTTTTTGTTTCTGATTTCCAATATCTGTAGTTGTTTGGGTTTTTATTTGGATGGTATCAGACGCGTACGGCTCACTGACAGCTTGCTATGTTCAATGCTTGGCATTAGGGTAAGGGAAGGTCAGCTGGAATTTTAAGGCGATAGTAGGAACTGCAGATGCTGGAGAATCTGAGATAACAGCTGGCCAAGCAGCATCAGAGGAGCAGGAAGGCTGACGTTTCGGGCCTAGACCCTTCTTAAGAAAATCTGCTGCTTGGCCTGCTCTGTTCATCCAGCTCTACACCCTGTTATCTCTGGTATTTTATGGATAAAGGTTCTGAGTTTGTAAATAAAATGATAAACTTTGTTGTGTGTGAGGTACACTGCAGTAACCAATAGTGTCCCCTCATGGAGAAAAAATAAGGCAAGCCCCCTAAAAGAGTGACCGAGAAACGTAATGTGTATGGATGGGAGTGGGGTTTGGAGCAGGGACTGTCAAAAAGCTGGAGTGGTAATAAATGGAGAATGGATTAAACCCAATATCAGAATCAGTAATGGAAGGCTTTGTCAGGGCAGGGGGAGGTGAGAAATGTACAGTCTGGGACATGGCAAACACTGAGGAGCTGAGAGTTAGATCATTTGATAAGGAACCACATGATGTTATAAAGACAATTTTTTTTGTATTTTTGGTTGTAGACTGAAATGGGTAAAGAACTGTTTGGTCAGAAGTGCAGAAATAAAAGAAAACAATTTATTATTTAAATTGGGAAAAGAAACTTCAGAGTGCTTTGGTGCATGAATCACAGAGAAATAGTATGGAAGTGCAGTAGGTAATATGATCAGGAGGATGCCATTCAGCCCCTCAAGTCTGCTCTGTGATTCCATGAGATCATGGCTGTTCTGTGGCCTAATTCTACATACCTGACTATGGCCCATGTCCCTCAATACCTCTGCTTAACAAAACATTCTCACTCTCAGATTTAAAGTTAACAACTGATCCAGCATCCACTGTCATTTGTGGAAGAGAGTTCCAAACCTCTATCACTTTTTGTGTGTAGAAGTGCTTCCTAACATCTCTCCTGAACAGTCTGGCCCTAAAGCCCCATAGACAATGCCCCCTAGTTCTAAATCCCCAACCAGTCGAAATCTTTGCCCACCCTGTCCTTTTCTGTTAATATCTTGCGGACTTTGATCATATCACCCCTTAACCTTCTTAATTCTGGAGAAAACAGGCCTGAATTGTATAATCTTTCTTATGACAACCCCCTCTTGTAAACCTATGCTGTACTAAGGAAGACAAGTGGAATTTTGGAATTTATTGCTAAAGGAATAGAGTATAAGATAGGAAAGGGCTGTTACAACTGTACAAGGCTTTAGTGAGACCAAACCTGGAGTATTTGGTATAGTTTTGGTCTGGTAATTGAGAAGGGATGTAGCTGTATTAGAGGCAGTTCAGAGGAGGCTCACTAAATTGATTTCAGAGATGAGGGATTTGTCTTATGAAGAGATATTCAGCAGTTTAAGTCTATACTTTCTGAAGTTTAAAAGAATGAGAGGAGATCTAATTGAGGCATATAAAATGCTAAAGGGGATTGAAACAGTAGGCAAAGAGCAGATATTTCCTCATATGGGACAATCTAGAATGAGGGGTCACAGTTTTAGGTCGAGGGGCAGCAGGTTTAAAGCAGAGCTGACAAGATATTACTTCTTTCAAAGGCATGAAATCAATGGAATTCACTGCCCCAGAGTGTAGTGGATGCCAGGACATTGAGTACATTTTTGGAGGAGCTAGACAGATTTTTACTTAGTAACAAGTTGAAGAGTGGGCAGGAAATTGGAGTTGAGGCCAAAATGAGATCAGCCATGATCATATCAATTGGCGGAGCAGGTTCGAAGGGCTGAATGGCCTACTCCTGCTCCTAGTTCTTATGTTCTTGTGTAAAGCAGGGATTGTTGAAGGATTGCTTTTTTTTAAAAGGCAGTAACCTGACTATGCAGTGTAAATGCTGTTTACGTAGCTGCTTGTTTAAGCAGCAGTGGAAGCCTAGTTTGCAGGTTTCTTTATTTATTCACGGGATAAGGGTATTATTGACTAGGAAGCATTTATTGCCCATCCCTAATTTCCCAGAGGGCAGTTAAGAGTCAACCACATTGCTGTGGGTCTAGACGTGTAGGTCAGACCAGGTAAGGATGGCAGTTTCCTTCCCTAAAGGACATTAGTGAACCAGATGGGTTTTTCCAACAATCGACAATGGATTCATGGTCATCATTAGATTCCTAATTCCAGTTATTTATTGAATTCAAATTCCACCATCTGCCATGACTCGAACCTGGGTCTCCAGAACTTTATCTGGGTCTCTGGATTAATAGTCCAACGATAATACCACTAGGCCATCGACTCCCCACCAGGTGAACAGGAACCAAATGTTGTGTGCAAGTCAAGATTCAGCTGGCAAGGCAACAACTAGCTGATTGGTCTGTGGACTAGTGACCAGTTATTGATGTCAAAGGCTTTTTGCCTGCCAACAGCTATATGGCTGGCTCCCAGGTCGCTGAACAGCTTGGAGCTGTGAATGTTTTGGCAGAAACTATTGCACCTCTGGAAGGGAAAGAGTTGTTTTTGCTCTGCAGGAAAAAAAATTGTAAGTCTGAGCGAGCAGTTTATTTCCCCTTTCCAAATTTGTATGCTGTGACTTTTAATGAATAAGTCAGACTTTTATATGTGGGAACCAGTCAAGTTGTGCTACTGCAAACAGGTGAAAGTATCTTTTCTTAAAAAAAAGTTCATGGGATATGGACATTGATGGCTAGGTCAGCATTTATTGTCAAATACTAGTTTACCAGAGGGAGGTTAAGAGTCAACCTCATTGCTTTGGGCCTGGAGTCACATGTAGGCCAGACTAGGTTAGGATGGGAAATTTCCTTCCTTGATTCACATCACTGAACCAGAATTTTTTTAATGCAATCAACAGTGGTTACTTCGTTGCTATTAGACTAACTTTTTAATTCTAAATTTTTATAGAATTAAAATTTCACTATCTATCTTGCTAGAATTGGAACTTCTGTCACTAGGATGTTAATCTGGGGCTCTGAATTACTAGCCCAGTGACATTATCAATATGTCAGGGCCTCCCCTGAATTTTGAAGAAGGAAGATCATGAAGCGGTGTTCTGGGCAGCTCAAGAATCATCTTAGCAAATCCTCTTGACAGGGATCACTGAGCTGCCTTCCCAGTCTTTGCCTCCAGTCATAGCACTATGTTTCTGTGCCTGTCTCAGTATGGGTGTAGAGTGGAGTTTATAAGTGGTTTAGATTTTTAACTAGTTGAATTAAAGATTTCTTTTTGTGTCTAATCAATCTGTTCAGAAATACTATTACACACCTCTGGAGTGGGTCGGACTTGAACCCAGGCTCCCTGGTTCAGAGGTAGGGACACCACCACGGTGCTACAAGCACCCTATTAGCAGAAGTGTATGCCAATTGTTCATAATTGTTTTCCTGTATTTAGAATCTACTTATTTGTAATAAATAATAATTCATGTTAAGTACAGAAACCTGGTCTAGGCTTTCCATTAACCTGGGTTTGAAAGACAGAAAATTTAGGGAATTCTGTATACTTTAAAAAAACCTTTAATTCAGCAAATAGTAGGCCTTGATTTCTAGTGAGCTACGCTAATGAGGCATAACAATATAAGAGGTAATGCATTGACATGAATACAAAATTGGCTGACTAACAGAGTACAAACGGTTAATTTTTGCACTTGGTTTGGGATTATGTTCAGCATGGACTGGTTGGACGAAGAGTCTATATCCATGTTGTATGACTCTACGACTCTATGTAAAGCATGGCATGCCACAGGGATTGGCGTTGGGGCCACAAATTTTATTATTTATAGAAATGATT